TTACCCCCGGTCTTTAATTACCCCCGGTCTTTAATTACCCCCGGTCTTCACTTGACCGCAGTCTTCAATTACCCCCAGTCTTCAATACCCACAGCCTCCTATCAGGACCTGCAATCGCTTGTTTCACATCCATGGTGTCCGCTAAGGCTTAGCTCCGCTCAGACATGTATTCTGGGGCGCCCCGAATCCCCAATGCTCTTTTGTTACCCAAATCAACCAATGAACTCAGTGTTCTGCCTGGTCGGACTCTATTTCTTTTGCGTACAGTTCCAATTTCCCCAAGGATCCAGGTCAGTATCTCCTGGGGCCCAGAAAGACTGGGCTATCCTCTCATACTAATATAACTATTAGCAGACTCAGATATTCCCATCAGATAAGGTACATCTGCCTAGACTATTATGGTCCAAAAGGACAGAATTATCTTCCCGGACCGATGAAGTCTTAGCAGACTACCATAGCCCCTCCAGAAATGTAGAGTCTCTGTAGACTAGCTATTTTTCCAGACAAAAACACATTCCAGATTAATCTTCAGACCTGACAAAGTAGTCTGGTCAGATAATTTGCTGGTGTAGCAAATATAGCCCGAAGACCTGGACAAGCTTAGAGTAGAGTATGAGGTAGGAAACCGAGCACAGCTGGACTGGAATAATTGACACGCTCTATTGAGATCTCCGGCTAAATACTAGGCAGCATGGCCTTGGCTATCTGGTCAATAAGGTCTATACTGAGCAACACAATAATACAGCAGAAATGCTGGAGTACGCTCGGAGCCCAATAAGCATCCGTGCTATATCCGTTTAGTAGAAACGAAGCAATCCAAACCCTCGCGACAAAGACCTAGGTAACATGATAAATCAGGGTATATACTGTCTGCTTTACTGTACCAGTTGAGGCTCAACTGCAAACTCTAGTGTCGTTCGCGGTTCCGGGGCCTTCGCAATCTATTCTATATGCCACAACCTCACTCTCATTTCTCGACCCCGTTACAGCACTATGAACTTTTTCAGTTGCCTGGGCTTGTTGCTGGTCACTCAGTACGTTCTGCGACTCTTTGATCGCGTATCTGGCAGCTAGTTCTTTCCACGTGATCTGTTTCGGCTTTGGATAATACGAAGCCTATAAATCATCTTATCAGAATTGTACTCTAAATATTGTCATAGGAGAATATTGTACCAGCTCCTCCAGTGATGGGGGCCAGCTGCTGTTGGAGTTAAAGAATAGGATTTGGCCAGTTTTCTTGTTTCGGACCATGATGAATATATCCGCATCACACTCGTGACAGTACTCAAAGGATTTGAAGAACAAGTTATCTTTTCGGCGACTCTGTTGTTGGCGCTTCGATTTCAGGCTATCCGAAAGACGTTTCTGTATTCTTCGCGGTCGTGCTGCCATGGCGGATATCGGTCTTGTCTTGCACTGCCAAACAATGGGGGATCCAAGCCTGTAAAGGCGCGAGACAGATGTGTGCAGTTTCCATTTCTCTTATAGCCGACCGGTCGGCTGAGAGGTCGCGCGGAGAGGGTGAGCTGGGGTGAGCTGGGGTGATGACGTTGGGTGACAGCGATCCAATCTGTATGCGAAAGGAGGAACGGGGTGGCAGACAGGCAATCTAAATAGACATCATAGCCCATCTCTTACAATGATGGGATATAAGGGTGCTCTCGGCTTCGGATAACACGGCACCAATGAGTGGAGGTCAGAGATGAAGTACCTCACTAGTGTCGGTCTCAAACGCCGGCGCACGGGATGCCAGTTCACGATCACCTATTCTTTTCACCAAGGGTGAGCACGCAGCACGGGTGCATACCCATTAGGCCGCCTTGTAGCCCCTCCCAGCCAAGGATAGTAGGGCCACAAGCGACGGCTGCTACACTAGTTATAAGAATTTAGGAAAAGGCTCTATTTGGTTATCCAAAAGACTACTTATTTTCAACAGGAACAAAGAACGGCAGAACAGCAACCGGGGCTCGTGGAGTCAAGCGGTAGGGCCGGGCGGTGTAGCCTGGCCATAATAGCCTGAGGCAATGGCTGTGGAGACATCTCGGATCTAGAAGCGTGGACTAGATCCGGAGAATGTTCGGCACCAAGTAGCCAAGCCTCCAAAATGCCTAAGCATCCGCTGCGCACCAGCACGTCTGCCTAGAGCATTAAGAACCACCTTCGACTAGTGATTCGGCGAAGGCTCTTATGGTCGGATAAGCACTGCGGTCAGAGACTGTGAAAGAAATTTCTGGTACATTCCTCAGCCGAAAATCCCATAATTCATGCCATACCAAAGCGAGCTTCTCATGATGTTTATTTATTCTTACCTACTCTCCAGCCTGTCCCTTCACAAGCCTACTCGAAGGAGTGTCGATGATGCTGCAAGCCAGGTGAGTCAAAGCCTTAGCATGGGGTTAGTGGCAAATATTAGGCTGGCTGAAATCGACACTGGCGTTACGATTGAACTTCTATGACAGTAGTCACTTTAGGCGAGCAGCAGTAATCTGAGGGAACAGCGTGAACCAAGGAGACTGCGGCACTCTGGACAGAGGATGGGACAGTACAGTAGTTGGACTTTGAATAGAGAATTAGAGTGACTAAGACCTTTGTCATAGGTTCTATGTCCATAGTGGACCATAAGCTTCAGATCAGTAGCCCACGTGAATAGCGAACCGTTCGGGACGCCAGTTGGCTGTCCGCAGGCCAAGTTGGCTCACGGTCCGCGGCCCAAGGTCCGACCAGGATTGCGGACAACTGTTCTAAGGACTGGGACCAAAGTCACTAGCTTTCCGTCCCTGGGCAGGAAGCTTCGGCTTGAATGCTCCTGCTTGTGGGCGCTGGCTTTTCTGCGGTAGGGTCCCATTGCCCGATAAGGCTTGTAACCGTCGGCTTGTTGCCTTTTCCCGATGTCGGTCTCTCAATCGTGGTCTATATTGGATCACTTACAGTACCTAGTGGGCTTATTGTCCCGGTCTTTATGTCACCCATGGATTGCTGGCTAATAATCTTAAATTGGGTACTGCTCGAATCCCAGAGTCACTGCTAAATTATTGCGCTCCACTCGGTCCATCTCCGAACTCTTCATGCATGCTGAGATAGTTAAATCATGATGATGACTCAGCCTTGTGAGCTCTGGCAAACAATGGATTCCTGATCTATGTGGTTGGTTAGATAGTTAGAATCTCCATGATGACTAACTAATCCACAGAGCCAAAGAGCCAAGCCGTGAGGACGAGGTCATGTGGTTACTCTGATTTTCGATATCCTAGGATAAATGAGCCGACTCAGAAAAAGATTTTGACTCCAATCCTACAACTGATGATGACTCAGCTGCAGCCGAAGACGTCAAAGGGGGAGAACAATGAGAAGACCCATAACTATTTGTTATGATTAGACACACTGCGATGACCAGCGGATTGCATGCACTGGCTCGAGGAAGTGGAGTAAAAAGAGTCATCGTATTGACCTTATTTTGGCTACGGCCGCCGAAGCGTAGAGCCAACATGATGGTTAACATGCTCTGGTCACGTGACAATCGACCTTACCTTTTTGGGTCTATCTGCGGAACCGAACTTCACCTTTCTCTGCGCTACCTGACTCTTGGTTTCTGTTGGCCAAAGTCGGTATTCTTTTGCCGACAATGATGCTGGTCACTTTACAAATGTATTCAGTTCAGTCATATTCTTAGCAGGACAAGACAGATTCCCTCTTGTTGGACTAACTTTTTGACATCCGAATTTCATATCTGGGAACGGTCGGGGTTTGCATCAGCCAGTCATCTTGGCTTCACCATCTCGCGACCACTTCACCTTTCAAGTCGCAGCATCGTACGAAAATGCGCGGTTTCGGACAAAAGCCGGACGCTATGGATATTCGCTTCATTACCAACCAAGGACCCTCTAGAAAAGCCCCAACCAGCAGCGAGTACTTGGTATGCAATGGGTCTCCAAGCATGAGCCGTTCTTATGGCAAGTATCTCTCCCTGGTCTCTTCCTTGCCCTCACTTTGTCTTCATTTCCTTCCAGCTCCTCCTTCAACCAACCCCACTCCTCCCCCAGAAGATTATCACACCTGAAGTGCTGATTATACGTCATTTATATTGAATCAGTGAGTGACTGATGCCGGGACCCTTGTCTCCCATTATTTATCTCTTAAGCCTCCGGACAGAAGTCTCTTCCTCGAAGAAAACGGCCGCACATATCACGGATATCGGAGAGGAGTCTATATGTTACCGTGTGATGAGGAGGAGCAGGACCGTCTCGATCTGTTCCATAAGCTATTCACAGGCAGGTGTGGGAGGGGAGGCTTCAGGAACAGACTGACGGCTCTGTGGGCAAATTCTAGCTCTCCTGTGGACGCAACTTGCAATAACCGGAAACCTCCAGAAGATGCAAATAAGTCTCATAGTGGGCCTTGCTCCAGGTACCCAGAGCTCTGTCGTCCTAGGCGCATGTTAGTAAAATGCCAAGAAAAGTACCCAGCTGGATATACCCCGTGGGTATACCCAGCAGGGTACTCGCGAGTCCTTGGAGAGATACGTCATTATACGGTACTGGGTTGCGTCATTTTGTTTCAAACGGCAATAATGCTGTTGAATATCACGTGATGTCACATTAGCAGGGATCGGGAACAGAGATATATATATATGAGGCATCCCGCCCCTGTAAGGATAGAAGTAGTAACCAAATCAATCAATCTATTCTCACTTCAACAAATGCCAAGAAAGTACCCACATGGGTATACCCGTGGGTACTTCTCTTGGCGCGATGATGAATAGTGACGTAGATAATTCTAAGTACCTATATCGCGTCTCTCTGGGAGACCACCCGTCAGTGCTGAAGCGATAAACATATACATTCTATCAAAAGCAGGGCCAACCGTCTTAGTCGAGCAAGAATACGTGGCAGCTTCCGTAAACAAACTGATCGTAATATGGGTGATGGATTGATGAAATAAGCTATCTGAAAGCCTAAGTATTACTGGGAGCATCCTATACCTAGGCTACTGTCCAGCCTGGGCTAATGAAGGGCCTATGTTATCCATTTATGCTTTCTAGCATAAGCTATTGAGTAGTATAAGATGGCCGTAAGCCTAGGCTATTGAATAGAATAAGCTATCTGGAAGCCTAAGTATTACTGGGAGCATTCTATACCTAGGCTATTATCCAGCATGGGCTACTAGCCAGCCTGGGCTAATGAAGGGCCTATATTATCCATTAATGCTTTCTAGGATAGGCTATTGAATAGAATAAGCTATCTGGAAGCCTAAGTATTACTGGGAGCATTCTATACCTAGGTTATTATCCAGCATGGGCTACTAGCCAGCCTAGGCTCCTATCCAGCCTGGGCTAATGAAAGGCCTGTATTAACAATCAGTATCTTTAACAGAGGCTAATAGTTAGTATAGGCTAGCTATAAGCTCAGGCTATATTATAATATAAGTTATCTGAAAGCCCAAGTAATACTGGAGTAGGCTGCTTTTCAGTACTCAACAATAACCGATACATAAATAGCTCAGGCCAGCGTAGGCTGGTAGGCAGCACAAGCTTATGTTCATGCGTAGGTTATCTTCGATTATCTAAGCCACTAGTTGCCATTAACCTCTTCACACCTGAGAAGCGGCCTTTGCCGGATGATTTGCCAGGTATTGCATCCAAATGAGCGATATCAAAATGGAGTCGATCTCGAGTATCAGGATTCATGTATCTAGTATTTAGATCAGTACTTTTATGCTGACTTCTATGTCAAAAAGTCTGGTGCGTAGCGCTCAAAGTCGTGGCCCTTATGTATTTCCCACTTTGCCCATCTTCGCTTTTGCGCATGTCTTTTTTCTAGAAAAGGTCCAATGTCTGATAGGTTTCTTGTATATATTCGAATAAATAATCCCCAGATCCACAAGCCCTTGGCCCGGCTCTAATAGACCTCGAGGAAATTTCAAAAGCCTGATCAATATAATGGCAGCGAAGAAGAGAAGCATCCGACGGCGGAGATCCAGTAGCAAACGATCCACATATCAACGACGTAATCGACGAAGGAACAGCCTGTTCTTAAAAGCTTTTGAGTATTGCAACTTGTGTGAAGCAGACATTGCACTGGTTATCCGCCTGAAGCACAATGGCCAGGTCTCCAAATTCAACTCCAACAGTCAGTGGCATCCGTCGCGCGAAGAGTTGGTAGGCAACCTTTACGACTGTTACTGTAATATTAGTGATATTAACGAGCTCTTAAGGACATGTCGTACCCAAAACCAAGAGAAATAACTTGGGGCGAGCTAGCTGCTCAGTATGAGATAGGGGAGGCCAAGATGTAAGATATTAGAGCGGTGGTAGCGGGCACTTTGAACCTTAGATATGTTACAGTACAAGAATGTTTGACATTGAAATCTCTGTACAGTATAATCCGGGGGAAAGTATCTTTGTAGTGCACTGAAAGAATAGATATGTATGTTTAGATGGTTAAGGTTACCCAGAGGCGGCAGTTACCCACCCCCGACGAGAAAGCTTCTCATTAGGGTCCTTTCCCACACGGACATTTCCCCCCTAGGGCATTCTTTCCCTCAGGGATTTCCACCTCAGGGATGCTTCTCCCCAGGGCCTTCTTTCCCTCAGGGGCTTTCCACCCCAGGGACATTTCCCCCCAGGGCCTTCTTTCCCTCGGCTTCTTCGGGGTTTATTCAACGGCCCGTTAGTAAGATATACACAGGCCACGTGACTGTGCGTATATCTTATCACGTACGTATTGAACTTTTCATCGTTTCCGAGCCCGAGATGCTTTGTGTATGTCGCCAGCCACGAGTGGCTGGGTGGACGACCAACCAGGTCGTCGGCCTAGCGTGGACGCCAGTTAGCGGTCCTACGCTTGTGCCGGTCGTGCGACCAGTGTCCTGCGACCATACAGATCGGCTGCATCGGAACAGAGGGCCGGTGTTCTGGACCTGGGTGCTGACGAACTGTATCGTTCGGCGCGATGCGTAGGTCCTGTGACTTAGTACCAGGTACGCCAGACCCTGTGCGCCCGACCCACATATTCTTAGGACGCTGGTCGCGCGACCGGCACAAGCGTAGGACCGCTAACTGGCGTCCACGCTAGGCCGACGACCTCGTCAGTCGTCCATCCAAATTCGTACGACCTAATCGGCCTGAAGAACATGCGCTCTGAGACCACTCTGATGATACATAGTGCGCGTTGGCCATGTTCCGCTTATGGAGTAGATGATAATCAATATTGTTCCGAGAGCACAGATATTGGTACCGGACGTGGCAAGATATTCTAAGGGCGTGCCAAAGGTGCATTTTCTATAACACACTCGGGTCTGTTGAACACGGCCCATCACAGGGAAGTATCTTGCCGTAGAAGAGCATATATACACTCAGAGCGGACTATCAGGATAGTCTATCGTACGCTTAGGCGATTCTTTTCTTAGACGTGTCTCCGCCAATGGATGTTGTGAATACCGGTTCATTGCAGTATTCGCAGTATCGATCATCCTAAATTTCAACCCGGAAGTGTCATGTCGTGGGAGTATTACTTGAACAGTGGAAACATGTGCGAGGCTAATCTGCAGTTCCGATGTCTTCTGCGGCTGCCCGCAAGGTGGCTTTGTACGGTGAGGGCGACGTAGAAAGGAGATGGGGAGGCGCCTATACCACCATTTTCTTCCTGGGAGAGTCTTCAATTCAGCTCGTCCTGTCCGCGGAAATTATTCGCTTTGGTCGTCCTCCCCGACGCGGGCTGCCTTCCAGGACATTATAATACATCCGTGCAGCCTCGAGTGACCTCATTCTATCGCTTCCACTCGTCTTCTACTGATAAAGAGGTGGGCCACGTCATCACTTTGCCTATGAGATAGGTTTGCTGTGGAAGGTGCTCTGTGGCTTGAATTTATCCCCCATCCCCTCCCGTACACGCCGCAGGGGGGCATGCAGTGGTCGATTCCGTGTACTTATGACCTGTGTCTTCAAATTGCTGAGTCGATCAATCTTTCGACTAGAACCAAATATCAGGGTCCGTGTCAGAGTCATTGGCAGAGTAACTGTCACTCCAATCATCATCACTAGAGCTGGTGTCCGAATTGTCGTTTTGTTTCGCGACGCCTGCTAAAGCAGTAGGACTTCGACTGGGAACACTGTTGCTCAGGGTATCGGGCACGGCTGGCGTTACTTTACACCACCACCTTTAGAGATGCAGCCTGAGTCCATGTTCATGCGGCTTGGAGAAGGAGATCCTTTCTCACTCCCGCGAGACTTCCTCCCCGTAGACCGCTGCCTAGAGCAGTTCCGACAGGTTCGACCCTTGTCTCCACCCACTCGCCGTAGAGGCAAGTTGGAGTTGTGACATCGGTGATGTCTATCGGGGAATCCACACCGACGGCGTTGTCTGAGTCTAGGCGGAAAGACACACTGCTATCGGTTCCGTCGTTGTCGCTGCTATGGCCAATGTTGTGATGTGGTGAACAGCGCGCCATGGCTCAAGGGAGGGAGTCAAGCGACCGGTCTACTGGAAAGAGAGACCAGGAGAGGGGAGGGTCGTGAGATGACTGGCGACGACGGCAGGCTGAGGTTATAGGAAGAAGAAATGGCTGAGGAGCATCAATGGCCAGAAGGGAAGGAGACAGGATTGTCATTTATAAGATGACAACTGCGGGGGGCCCTTCACTCTTGGGGGGCAGCCATTTTCGGCTGGTCACAAAAGGTGAGTCGGGATGCAAGTTTTAATAGCGCAAGAGCCCGAAAAGGATCCCACAATCGGATCGATAGACTGAACAATAAATATGGCTAATCAAAGCTGATGGGTGTTCAGAAGCGATGGGTGTGCAAAGGTGATGGGTTTTTAAAAGCGGTGGGGCTTCAAAGACGATAGGGGAACGGTGGGCCCTAAATAATGGGGCGCCAACGATGGTGTTTACAACTTGCACTCTTGTTCCAAAGTGTTGGACACGTAAGTTGCGAGTTTCATGCACTCGCCGGCGGCCGTATTTGCAAGGGGCAATACGCCAGGTAAACCATGCATGTTGTGGCTACTTGAGGCCAGGGTTCCGCACAGCCACCAATTATGATTGACTGGAACGGCAAAAAAATAAGACCGGGACCGACCGAGGCCAAGCGACCTCTCCGCATGCCCGCCTAGTTGAGCGTCAACCGAATGAACACTTTTTGATAAACCCCATGAAGCAAATGGAAAACAGCAGCCCACCCGACTACCAAGCGCTCTATTTGAGGGCTGAGGAAGAGAAGAAATTGGCAGAGGAGGAACGCCAGCGGGAAGCAGAGCTTAGGAAACAAGCAGAGGAACGCGAACGACAAGCAGAGGAGGAACGTCAGCGGGAAGCAGAGCTTAGGAAACAAGCAGAGGAACGCCAACGACAAGCCGAGGAACATCAGCAGCAAGCAGAGCAGGAAAGGGACCAGGAAAGAGAGCAAACACGACGAACCACCTTTGCAGAGCTAATTCGATACTGCCACAACTATACTTCTCTGTGCCTGAGAGTCGAAAGTCCGTCCCGTTCTACGACGGGAACGGTTCCGGCGCCTAAGGGGAAGCGCTGTCCGCTGCAACTTCTGCCTTGGACCGAGTGCACAGCCATACAGCAAGGGATCTACCACTCTGTTTGTACTTATTTAGCACCGCCTGGACAACCTGCTGCCCAAGTGTTTCCGTCGCGTACTGTCCTAAAGGGGTTTGGGGAAGAGTTCAAGAAGAGAGCTATAAGCAGTGAGCAGGATCTGCAAAGCTATGAGAGATTCGGGGTGGAGAACCATGTCCGTGATATTATCACGGAACTCTGCAGGATACGTGCTGCTCGAGAGGAATTTCAGTTAGGCAATGGAATTCAGTTCGATAACCACGCAAATGCCCTCGATGCGGTTGACGCCGACCAGTCTAAAACGGATAAATCAGCGAATTCCCGACCGGATCAATATTGCATCCACCGGGTCGACGGTGATAAAAATACAACTATTATGACAGTTGAGTACAAGCCGCCCCATAAACTATCCGTGGAGAATCTTCGAGTGGGTTTGCGACCGATGCAATTCTGGGATGAAGTGGTCAGACCGGACTCCGTTCCCACGGAGGGGCCCGAGAAACTGAGATATAATGCGGCCTGGCTAACCGGTTCGGCTGTGGTTCAGGAGTATCATGTCATGCTCCAGGAAGGGCTCGAGTACTCATATCTGACTAATGGATTCGCAATGGTTTTGCTGCGGGTCCCCTATGATAATCCGGGCACCTTATACTATCATCTCTGTGAACCCAACATGGAGGTCAACCCGGATGTTGAACTGGGTTCTTTACAACAGCCGCTAACAGCTGTTGCTCGGGTCTTGTGTTTATGCCTCATGAGTTTCCGCTCACAATATCGTGACCAGGAGTGGCGGAATGCCACAAAGAAGCTGCCAAAATGGAAGACAAGTTTCGATCACACACGTTCCCAGATCCCGGAATCGGAATTGCAACAAAACCCGCCCGATTCACAATATACAGCATCGGAGTATACGAGCTCCGAACCTACTACATCAGAATATATACCGTCTTCGTCTCCTGCTCCCCCCCCTGCCGACACCCGTCGAATACCCACCCGGTCTCGAGCTAGCTGCGCGTCGCCGAATCTGACACCACGTCATGATTCTGACTCGGACGCAGATCAAGCTCCAGGAGGAAGGAAGCGTGGCTTCAGTCAGATTGCATCCTCTCCTTCGTCTCCATCTGCTCAACGATCAGCACATCTGGCGGGAGATCAATATACCCCGATCGGCAGCCAAGGTCAGCAGCACACCGCACAGTTTTGCACCCAGAAATGTCTACGTAGCCTGCAACGAGGTGGTCAGCTGGATGTTAATTGCCCAAATGTCATGCTCCACCGACAGGGGGGGGACAGCAGCCAACACCCCATCAATGCCAAAACGCTGATCAAGCAACTCAAACAGCAACTAGATGAAAATATCGACCGAGACTGTACACCAATGGGGTGTTGTGGCGCATCGGGAGTCCCATTCAAAGTCACCTGTACGGCATATGGATATACTATGGTCGGTAAAGGCACAACTTCCCGACGGTGGGAGGAGGTCAAACGTGAGGAAGTCGTATACCGTGTACTCGACCAAGCACAGGCTTCTGCTGTTCCTGTTTTTCTGGGGGCAATCGATTTGGCCAAATCCTACTTCGTACATGGAGCTGGTGAGATCTGCCACATGCTCATCATGGCCTGGGGGGGTGAGCCCATACATAAGATAGAGCGTGACACTACGATCACACGTGAGATTGCGAGGTCTGAGAAGGAGATCTGTTCCTTGGGAGTCTTACACCAGGACCTCCGGTCGGACAATATTCTATGGAACGCCGAGCTGGGACGGGCCCTGATCATTGACTTTCACTGCTCGAAACTGAATCACCGACCTATGAAAAGGCGGGTGAAGTCACCCGGGAGGCATCCGCGTGGAGAACTGCACAAGCGAAAGCGACTTTGTATTGTCTAATAATGAAGGTGAGAGGAATTGCACGCCTGCGCGTGAATGAATAATATGGACTGGCAGTAATGTGATTAATGGAAAAATTCTCAAGTACATGCAGGATCATTGTTTATACAGTAGCTACCTTTATAACTTGAAGTCCCTATGAACAGTCTGCCAAGTAGATGAGTCCCTAAATGTTCAGGCATTTACTCAGCGCCAACCTGTGAATACTATCTGCACGAAGTTACATTTTCACATTTCGCTAAAACAAGCAAGATAACTATTTCGATTTGCGCAAAACACGTTAGCCGTGACAGCATCTGGACTCCCTTTGCTGGATACTCTGGCGTCTGCAGACTCGCTCAGGATCCACGCTCTTAATCTCAGTGGGCTGTCAAGATATCTTTTTTCTCAAGGACTTTGGTCTCCCGGGTCCTGGATCGAGCCGAAACCGAGCCGAAATTACCCAATATGGTAAATGTCACTGTTCTATGTCGGTCGGGGGAATGTGAGAGCATTCTCAGGACTGGTTTTAAACATATGTCGCTCTTTCTAAGACTTTTGTATACATATGAGCTAGATTGGTTCGAGAATGACGTCTCCGAGCGGCTAGCCATACATGAAAAGCCTTCTCTGTTGCCCTACGACACATATGGATTATTTCAGGTAGCGATACTCAAGTAGCAACTTATGGAAATAAGTTGATATGTGAGAGATCATAAGTTATTATGGGACATGGAAGTATCAGGCCAGAAGGAGATTTTCAGGATGAAATGGCTCATGAAAATCCTCTTGTGAGGAAAATAGCCACGTGAGAATTGTTCTGAAACCTAAATAGAAATAAGAAGCATAGAGTCATGGGAAACGCCTCTTCGAAACGCATGCCTCCTAGAAGGCTTGACCTAGAGCCAATACGATCATAGAACGTTGCGCACAGGAGCCTGCAGCATGCTGCTGCGTCTTTCCTTGAGACTACAAAGAACGTCTACTGCTTGTGGGCCTAGTGACGCGGATGTCCAATGGATATGAAGCGACCTCCAGCTGAACCGCAGTCGTCCTTGCCAAGTACCAGAAGTAAATGTTGATTGGCCTTCTGACCTAGAATGGTGGGTCATCACTGCGTACATCCCGCAGTGGCCCTGAGGGGTTACTCGGTTTCTTCCGCTGCGGTCCGGCGAAGCTGCACAAGGGGTGACTGCGGCGCGACTGCGGCGCTCTACTGTAGATCAATTTATCACTGCACCGCGGACATCTTTGTACAGTAGTGGGCCTTGGGGCTCTAATGGGCCAGGTTCTTATTTGGTTACGAAGCAATCTCCCGCAGCTGGCTGTGCACCGCAGGCGGCTTTGCCATACCAAAAATAGTTGCTAATTGGCTTCCTCACCTGACAAGGTGGGCCGCTGCGTACGTCCCGCAGTGGCCCTCACTTTTCCTCGATCGTGACCGCTGCGGTCCGGCGAACTGCAGGGATAGTCACTGCGGTATTAGTACCACGAACCTTGACGCTTGCGCTCCTTATCAACCAGGCGCATCTACATCGAAGTACACATCCGCTTAAGGCAGCGGCAGTGATCAAAAATCGCATTCGCCATTTGCAGCAGCGGCGTCGCGCAGCGGATCGAGCGGCGGCCTAGGCAACCACCACCAATCAGCTAGTAGAAGTGAAAGAACCCGAGCCGACCGAGACCATGAATGGACTGCTCGCAAAGACGGACATTCTACGCGACCATACTGCACCATTACGTGCATCCGCGACTTGGTCAACCGAGAACCTCTAGGTAAATAAAAAGCTCCAAGCGTAGCTAACTGTGAAGCTGCCAACAGGCAAAAGATGCAGTTCCCGCCTAGCCACGGTCTTCCAGACTGACTGAGACGGAGTATGAATAGATCCAGGATCCGGATACGGGCAGCTAATGAAACGAAAAACGTAGCTCAACTTAAATTCTTTGAATCCAGCACACCGGGGAAATCGAAGGACCAACAAACTCCGTGGAAGGCTTCTATTGACTGTTCGCTGCCGAAGGCGGAAACTGTTCGCACACGCAAATTGATATATATGGGAACCGAAAGCCATTGAGATGTCCATTACTTGATGAAACTATAATACATTTGCTTGCAATTTGCTACTTAGCCCCTCCTTTTAGACTCCTGTACCAGCTTAACTGAACGTACGAGCACACACCAGAATGATGACTTAGTACTTCCCCATGTTCAGTCCATGCGATTCGGTAAGCCTTCCTCGCCACGACGGCTAACAGAAACACCGATGCTCCAACTGCGCTGAAGAGGACCCAGATACATGACATAATCACGTCACTCTTATAGTCCCACAGCACTTTCGTCGGCGATAAGACGATCCTGATACTTGGTGGCGATGCTTTGGGCCATGCCCATGAGGTACATGGCCAGTTGTACGTCCGGGTCGTGAGGCTTCGCCATGTTGCGCGCACGGACAGTACGGTCAATTTCTTTAATAGGGTCCACAGCTAATGACCCAAGGTCATGGCATCCTAGCTCTGGAAATAAGCAGTGCAGGTTGAGTCCCACAGCAAAAAATTGTGCTAGAACCGCTAGACCAAGGGTGTCACCAATGCCACCTCGCAGCATGGCTGGAGGAAGCCAAAAGAGCCACTGTCGTAGAATGTGCATGCGCTGGAAAGCCTGATCTGATGAAAGAGAACAAATATCGCCAAGGAATTCTTCCAGAAATTTGACCAGTTTATTTACCTGATTGTGGTACTTTTCCATATGCCCAACTTGTCCCTGGATATGTTGCAGGACCGTAATTATGTCGGCAAGGCCAGATAGATTCTTATTATTGAAGTGACAGCTCACGATAGAAGACGACTCCAAGATTCGAAGGTATTGTTTAGTCTCGAGGAAATTTGCCAGCTCAGACTTGTGCCTCCATTCCTGCGGCATAGAATAGAAGACAGATTTCAGACCAGTCCACAATACTATCCAGCTTGGCCTAAACTTATCAGTATCCGTAGTATTGGCAATAAGGGATTCTATACCGTTCACTGTCTGCCCATAATAACAGGATGGTAGCCGCAAGGACATTATCATAGTTCTCTGTTGAAAGCTTGCTAGAAGCTATTCGTAGTTGCTCGATTGCAGTCTGACGAAAGTAGAAATATGTCTGTTTTATTCCCACCTTCGGCTCTATTGTAGCTAACAAGGATGCGGATAGGGTGAGGAGCGAGCTCATTACTAAGTTATCGGAGCCTGCCATAGAATAGAATCTGTATATGATATCAGCTCTGGCTTCGATATGGGTTAGAATTACTTACAGAGGCAGCTTCTGAGCCCAGATTGTGTAGTCTCTCATGCCGCGCTGTTCCAGACTTTCGTAGAGCTTGGTAATAAGATCAATGAGTTTGTTAAGCGGCAAGTAGTTCAGTTTCGGTCTGATAGGCCGCCAATACTTAGGCCCTTCCTCGATTTCTGCTGTGATTGTGTATTTGCAGGAGACGCTGCGCTTGCTGCAACTTCGACTGCACTGGTCAACTGACTCGGCACCATGCACTGGGCTCCGTGGGAAGGCATACCATTGCGGCAAGGATTTATCGCATTTTTCATGGCGCCGTTTACATGACTCGCAGTTCATGGGGGATTTTTCCTGGTGACAGCCAGAATTGGGCATC